CTCACCAATATAAACTTTTACCTCCTTTAAAGATTTAAATTGGGGGGCTTGCCCATAATGTCAGTTACCACAGGAAATAACTGTTTATGACCTATCTATGGGGTAGGGCAGACTTCTCATTACTGAACATCTGCTCCTCTTATCATCCTGCAAATTACCTTCCTCCCCTCGGAAGCCCCAAGGCGCCTTACCTCATCCTTAGCTCAGAATGCCATGTATACCTCATTTTAACTTTCTGTCTCTGAACCATGTATGTAGGTATGTGATAAAAGTTGGTGATTTTCTCTTGTTGATCTAATCTGTCTCATGTCAATGTAATTAGAACAGCAGGAAGAGCCTAGGAGGGCAGAGGACAGTTTCTCATCCCCACATCCCTGTCCCAGAGCGCGCTTGGCTGTAGGTGGGGGTTGGCTCTCTGGCCAGGCTGTGAAGCATTCCGAGGCTTGGCAGGGCTTGGGCTGGCACAAAGCACCTCTCGGAAGGGGCTCCGCAGATTTCTCCATTACTGCATAATCTCCGTGACACAAGCAGGCAAATTTGGGGTTTTGTGTTTCGTTAACTGCTTGTTGTTAAGTTCTTATAAAGTTAAACAAGTACAATTTTTTCCTCCTTATTTCAATGAGGAAATTTAAAACTAACTTTAAACAATGATTTAAACCTAATAAGCATTTCTCTTCCCACATTCTAGACTTGTCTATTTTGAATTTCACGGCTTCGTTTTCTTGCACCTTTTTTCCCCTCCTCTAGAACTCGCTTAACTCCTCTTTCTCAGCCCTGTTCTGCGGCAGGTCTTTGTGGCTTTGGTGGGTGCAAATGAGTGTTCGGGCTGCCTGTTCGCTCCTTGGAGGACATACAGATGGCTTTGGCTTTTGGGCACCTAGTAAGTGCTTCCAAACACATGGAACTTTTCCCCAAGTGGCCAGGATGCTCTCTTGGGTTCAGCTCTTAGGAATTTTGTTTCTAGAAGTGTTTTCCTTCAACAGATGCATTTTGAGCAGAAAATGAAAAAAACTGTTATAAATCCAGCATTAATGCTTGATCCCCTCCCCCATCTTTACTTCTTTCCATGTTGACTTGATGGACTGAAGAGAATGGGCATCTCTGGGAAGGAGGGAGAGGACTGTGATGATGCAGATGATAACAACTGGCTTTTGGGGGGAGGGGGAGGAGGTGTACCCTTTGTTAGGCTCTATGCTGAGAACTTTGCCTGAATTGTCTCATTAAACCCTGAAGTAGATATTTTTTATTCCCATTTTACAAATGAGGTAACTGAGACCTAGGGAATTGGTCCCAGGCCGCATCATCAGGTAGTATTTGAGGTTGGGTGTGAACCTAGACCGCCTGACTCCATAGCTCTTGCTCTTAACCCCTAAATCAGGGGTTCTCAACAGATGGGAGGACAGTTGTCTGAGACATTTCTGATGGTCACCATCTGTGAGGCAGAGGAGGAGGGGGTGGTGGTAGAGGCATCTTGTAGGTAGAGACCAAGGATGTGTGCACAGGACAGCCCCAACAAAGAATTATAGGCCCCAATGTCATGGGGCTGAGATTGACAACCTGCTCTAAGTGATCTCCCGGGAATGTTTGTTTTCTGTTGAAAGTGGAGTTAGTTTACCTTTTAACCTTAAACCTGCTAAAGTATATCACATGTGGAGGGTGGTGTGATGGAATGTTTCAAAGAATCCAACTGCTCTCTGAGAACAGAGAACTTGGTCAACATTCCTTGGTGCTGAAAGTAACCCTAACCTCGTGAGAAAGGGACTCCCCACCCGGGGAACTGGTTTTGTCCCAGCCCCTGGTCAGAGACCGTGTGTGCTCACGGCCTCTCTTTGCCTGTTTCAGACTTGGACCCTCTGGGTACTAAGTGTGCTTTAAGGAAGGACACTGACCCTTGACTTTGCTTTTCATGGAAATGCTGTTGATTGTGGAAACTAACATGTTCTGGAATGTTGGAACCTGTGTGAGAAACCACCTGTCAGAACCTCCTTTCTGATAACCCCCAGAATCCTGCTGCCACAGTTTTGGGAGTGACTGTGAAAACCTTGGGGTTTTAAGGGATTCTTTAAACTCAAAAGAGAAAAATGTAAGAAACTGAGCTAATTTCTGGGTTGGGCAAATATATAGCTTGTTCAGCTCCTTGGACTTACTTATAGGTAGCTGTTTAATTTTTCTCGTTTTATGTTTATTTGTTTTAAGTTCTACCAAGTAAATGTTTATTTATATAAGTAAAACTAAAAAATATTACAGGAGTTAAAGAATTTTTATTTTTTTTATTGTGTTAAAAAATAACAAAAAATTTCCCATCTTAATCATTTTTAAAGGTATAGTACAGTAAATTTTTCTAGTTTTTAAAAACTTTTTATTGGTGAGAGAGAGAGAGAGAGAGAGAGAGAGAGAGAGAAACATCGATTTGTTGTTTCACTTATTTATACATTCATTGGTTGATTGTTGCATGTGCCCTGACTGGGGATCAAACCCTCAAACTTGCCGTATTGGGATAATGAATGCTCTAACCAACTGAGCTACCAGCCCAGGACATAAATTTTCTAGTTTTATGCCGTAGTTAGAATGATAGTTCACTGTGGCTGTTTTCTGCCAATCACCACTAAAGTGGATTTCATTTCTCATTGGCTGATTTATTTAACAAATATTTGAGTGCTTACCAAATAGGAGATAGAACAGGGATGTGGCTTTGTTTTGTTCCAAAATAGAAATTTGTAATGCTTTTCTAATGATAAGATATGTGCTCATTCAGAAAATACAGAAAAGCATATCACTTGTAATCCTACAACTCTGTTGACTACTGTTGACATCCTGGGATATCCTTCTAGATTGCTTTTTGTTGTTATTGCTGATCTATGTCATGTTATATTTTTACCCCAAATGCTATCATACTCTATACTCATGTGTTATTAACTATTTCCAATTAATACAGTGTGGACGTCTTGGCAGTGACTTTTTCTGTATAATCTGTATCATTTCCATAGGTGCCCCGTATTCAATAATGTGTATGTACCGCGATTTCAGTCATCATTACTCTTTCATGGAACATCCAGGTTTCCTTTCTCTCTTCTAAACAACATAGATGGTCATTCTTATGTATACCTTTGTATTCTTGTTTCGTGAGGGGAGAAACAAGGTCTCTTATTGCTGCATTCCCAGGAATTAACACTGCAAACAGTAGGTATGTAATATAATAATAGGTGAGTGAATGGATGATCTGGTTATTTTCATAGGATTAGGAATGGGGCTTTTAATGTGGGGTGGGACTTGATGGTGAGGTAGGGAGCTTGGTGATTGGGGTGGTTCAGCTGCTTGGGGCAGAGCTCTAATGGAGGTCACCCAGGCCCACTGAGACCAGAGGTTGCCTGGGAGAGAGGAAGGAGCCCAAAAAGGGAGATGCCTTCTCCAGATGTTTGTTGACTGCTTACCGTACACTCAAGGACAACAGAGAAAAACTGCTTCCTCTGGTGCCTCCTCCTCCTCACACAGCCAGTCTCCCCTCTGTGGGAAACCAGAGTTTCAGGTCGGTGCTCTCTGTCCTGTTCACCATCTTTATGCTACTTACCAGCTTTCTCTGACCTTAAGTTGCCCAACCTCTCTGAGCCTCTATCTCAGCTCTGTAAAGTGGGGGTGATATAATGGCTAATAATAATATTTTTTTGTGCCTTGCAGGAGTGAGATTAATTACTAAGTGTCCATTGTTGTTAGCTAATACTGTGGCTTAAGTAAGCTTTAATAAGTGGCTCAATATTCTTTTGTAGGGAGAAATCCACTGTAAGCTCATACAAACCAACTCACTAACACAGTATATAACATGTGCTGAGTTTTAGGAAACAATCGTTTTGTGAATTAGGGACTATCTGCAACCCTGTGTGGTGCAGGGACATAATCCTTTGTGGGGCAGAGGAATTGTGTGTTTTTGTTCTCCTGGCTTTCAAGTGCCATCAGTCCCTTGCATAGCCACCAGGAAAGGACAGCACCTGGCACCACGGAGGCGGGTGGGAACAAGAGTTGCTAATTTACCAGCACCACCACCACCACCACCACCACCACTGCCTTTCTGTTGTTGTGGGGAAAAAAGTCTGTATGTCAATGGGAAGCTGTTTCTGAGCTAGGAGTGAGGAGAATGATCTGCAAAATGTTGGTTGTGGAATCAATTATTTGTCGCCTCTCTGCTGACCACACGTGATATACAAAGCCTCGAAGGAGAAAGAAGGAAAGTGGGCTGTGACATTGCAGGAGAAGTATTGGATGTCACTGAAAGATATGGAAAGCTAAATATCATTAAAGTATAGAGAGTGTAACCAGACAATCAATGGGTCCGTGCTGCCTGTCACTATTTGAGCCAATTAAGCAGAGACAGGACTGAATCCTATATAAGCGTTTACTCCAATACTGCCGGCAGTATGGGAGAGCAGCAGGTCATCCACAAAAATCTGCTCTGCACCCCGCCATAAGCCCGCTGCTTATATTGGGTAGAACGAATATTACATGGGGAGGTAGCCAAAGGGTATGCCAAATGGGCAGTTAACAGGTAAGCAGAGGGCTGGGGTCTTCAAAGGGCTGGCGATCCTGGTTTCTGCAACAAAGATGTTAATCTTTCCACGATAATAGGCAGCTCCAAATGGGAGGATGGGCTGCATTTAGAATGTGCTTTCTTTAATCAGAACAAAACAATCACGATTAACAGAGCACGATTATTATTTCTTACAATTCTAGCTGGTTCCCCAACATTCTGTTTTTGCCCCTATCAAGAGCACCGTTTAATGAAAAATTTGAACCCAATTTTATGTCTTTAATAATATTTTTCTTATATTTCCTTGGTATTATAATCCCCCAGCATGCCCAGAAACACCTGGGTTCTGCTTCTAATGGCTTCAACAGCTTTTATTTTTGAGGAACTTCCTCATTGCCGCCTCCCCCCCCCCCCCATTTCTTAGGAACAGTACTATAATTAATGTAGTTTTTTTAAAAAAATCTCTTCTGTCTTTCCTCAGTTCTGCTAGTGATCCTGTTTTTCCAAGTCAGGAAAAGGGACTGAATGAAGGGCGGTGCCAGATTTGAAGATTTCTTTCCTTTTGCAGTCTGGACTGAGTTGAGACGTCCTAAAGCCAGCTTGGCTCTCCACAACCCTCGAGGAAAACGTCTTTTTGATGAATGGTTTCCACATTGCTGAGGAATTTACACACCCCAAAACGAAAGCGTCGAAACTAAAAAATGTGACCCACATTTGGGCTGGTTCTGGTGACAGAATGTCCTGCGTACTTGCCGCCTCCCTAAGTGGAGCCAAGGGAGCATGACTTAATGTGATGCCTGGGCCATCATCGTCATGAATGAGCTCTCACTGCTGCTGTGTGAGCTGTACCTGACAGAACAGAGACCATGAAGCAGTTAGGGGGATGCTCACAGTACCTGTGAGGTGCTTGGAGAGCTTTGGACTGCTCCACTGTTCAATTCTTCTCTTTTTTATTGATTTTTCTCTCTTCTTTCTCGCTTTGGGGTTAACTCAGTGCTTGCCTCTTACAGTTTGTTTTCAACATCTAAGCATGTATGGATGGTAGGGATGTCAGATCACCTCTTGCATAGATGCCACCGTGTCTCTGGCAGATGGTACCTGCTGACCATTGCATTTTCCCTGCTGAGCCATTCAGCCTTAGAACCCAGCACAGCATTCCAGGATGGCACTAAAACAATGAGTTGAGTGTGGGATGAAACCTCTATTTTCCCACCATCTATTGTTTGTCACCTAGGCTCCTTGAGTTTGCAAGTGAGGAAAACCGAGACCCAGAGAGGGAAGGGAGTTACCCAGAGCCACAGAGTTGGAATCCAGGTCCTCAGACCTTTGCTCTTCCCCCCAGTTATTCCCTCCTGGTCCCTGTGGGTTTAATAACCTGGTACCCAACCAAGCCTCTTGGCCTTGTGAGAATAAGACTGATGGAGAGAGGGGGACTCCTGTGAGTAAGATAACATGGTGTGTGGATGCTCACACTGATTATGACATCGGGCTTTCTTCCTGATTCTTTGCTCTTTCCCGTTGGTGGTGTTGCCTGGGAGTTCTAGGTCAGCGGTTGCCAACCGGTGGTCCGTGGACCACTGGTGGTCCATGAGGTCTGAAAGGTTGGCGACTGCTGGTTTAAGAAACCTTTGGAGCAGTGGTCACCAACCGGTGGTCCATGGACCACTGGTGGTCTGCGAGGTTCGAAAGGTTGGGGACCGCTGTCTAGGTAATAAATGAATTGGGTTTTCCAGTTTGACAGTAGAAGAACCTGGAAGTTACTACCAGCCCTAGCTCATGTTTTTGTAACATTTCCTCACATTCCCCAGCTTAGGCCTCAGAAGAACTGTCTGTGCCCAAGGCCAGTGGGGAGGACAAGGAGGGAGACTGATATTTATTGGGGTGTGTGTGTGGGGGGGGGGGGTCTGGATCCTTAGACAGGAGAAGGAAAATAACACTTGGGGTGAGGCCCAGCTCCAGGTAGCAGCAAGCAGTGGCTCATCTTTCATTCAGACTCTGCCCTGGCAAGGACGAAGCACTTGGAAAAGCCTTGGCTACTCAAGCTGTTGTATTTCAGAGGAAGTTAGCCAGAGGGAGGGTGTGAAGGGCTCTTTGATATTTTTCTTTTTCACTACGGGGAGGGAAAGCTTCTTCAGAAAGAAAAATAAATCCCACGAGTCAATGCGACATTTGCAAATGCTTTTCTAGCAGGATCATCAAACTTAGTTGCTTTACGTAGTCTTTTTCTTTCCTTTGAAAATTATAGCAGTAATACCTGCACATAGTAAACACACAAGCAGAGAGTGGAACAGTGAGAAGTAGATGTCTTCTTTTCCTCCCCACATGTAGGCCCGCTCTACAGGTCATTGGTTAGTGGTCATTGCATACACACACACACCACACATAAAGCTACGCAAGAATATAAAATATCAGAGCATAATGATTGTGTTAGTTTGCTGGGCTGACATAACAAAGTATGTAGGCTGAGTGGCTGAAACAACAGAAACTTAATCTCTCACAGTTCTGGAGGCTCAAAGTCTGAAATAAAGGAGTTGAAGACTTGGTCTCTTTTGAGATCTCGCTCCTTAGCTTGCAGATGGCTGTCTTCTCTGTGTCCTCACATGGTTTTTCTGTGTCCTAATCTTATCTTCCAAGGACACCAGACATATTGGATTAGGGCCCACTCCAATGACCTTGTTTAACCTTAATTACGTTATTAAGGATCCTATATCCAAATGTTCTGAGATACTGGGGGATAGGACTTAAACTTGTAAATTTGGAGAGTGTGTGGGTGGGGAAGATAACTCAGTTCAGCCCAGAACACTGACTTACTCTTTTAACTACATTGTATTGTGTAGCTAGCCCATAATTCATGTATCTGGTCCCTGTGTATCTGGAGAATAAGACTGTTTCCATGCTTGTAGTGAATAACCTCACATCTAAATCTCTGTGCCCCTGTGTAAGTATACATGCAGGGTGAACTTGTAGAGAAATTGCAAACTTTGGCCTCTAAAGATATTGACTTGTGTCCTTCCGGAGTGCATCATAATTTCTTGTGGAACAGGAGAGTGTGCGGTACCTACAAATTAAAGCCCTAATACTTTGTGATGTAATGCTGGTGTGAGAAATTCAGAGTGTGGCACAGGACTTGTGCACATGCCCTGTGGAATGGGACGGCCAGCCCTTTGAGGAATGTTGCCATTATGACTTTACTGTACACTTTCCAGTCAGCATCCATGTATTGAGGCATTGATGGACCCTGTTTTGCTCATTTCTCTGTTGTTGTTATTTTTATTGTTGTTTTTAATTTTTTTTATTGATTTTAGAAAGGAAGGGAGAGGGAGAGAGAGATAGAAACATCCATGATGAGATCGGCTACCTCCTGCAAATCCACACTGGGGCTCGAGCCTGCAACCTGGGCATGTGCCCAGACTGGGAATAGAACTGTGACCTCCTGGTTCCTAGGTCCATGCTCAACCACTGAGCCATGCTGGCTGGGCATGTTGTTGTTATTTTTAAATAGACCTTAATTTTTAGAGCAGTTTTAGTTCACAGAAAATTTGAGGAAGGTACAGAGATTCCCCATACATCCCCTGCCCCACAGGTGCACAGTCCTCCCTCATTATCCACACTCCTTGCCAGAGTGGTACGTTTGTTATAATTGATGAACTTATAGTGACATATTATTATCCAAAGTTCATAGGGCTTACTCTTGGTGTTCTATATTTATTTGTTTACTAGAGGCCTGGCGTATGAAATTTGTGCATGGGTACGGTCCCTAGGCCTGGCCTGCGATCAGGGCCATTTTCCCCGGCTACCCACAACCAGCCCTGCCCCCCGCTCCCCGCCGCCACCCACCCCCAGTTCCCCATTCACCATCAGGTGATCAGAGCCTGCCAGCCCGGGGGAGGAACCGAGAGGTTGGCTGTTCCGCCCGCTCGCCGGCCCCAGCCCCGCCACGGGTTGCCCTCTGTGTGTGGGGCGACTGGTGGGGCGGGGGCCTTGGCCTGGCGCCACCTGCGTCCCCCGCCACCCACCCCAGGTTCCCCGTTCACCATTGGGCGATTAGAGAGGTGGTCAGTGCACATAATAGTAACTGGTCTAGCGGTCGTTCTGCCATTAGGGTCAATTTGCATATTAACCTTTTATTATATAGGATTTACTGTGACTTGTTCAGTGAAAAGTTTTGGCCCTCTGTTGCTGGGGTAACAAGACACTGGCACTTCTCTTCAAGCTGTGACAGCCTGGACGTTAGGCTGGCCAGGAATTATTCCAGTTTTGAAAGTGAGGATTAGGGGAGTGAAAAAGCCATAAGTGGCAGGGGCTAGGTGTGAACCCCTTTTATTCTAAATTTTGCTTTTCCAGAAAGAAGTGGTAAATCAGCAGGGCCGTGAGATTTTTTTTAGAGGCTAATATAACATTTCTTTTATGGATGCTGGTTTGAGTTTCTACTTGTGTATATTAGTGTTTTTTTAACTAAAGATAATGCACTTGTTCCCTTGGTTGTTGGCATAGTTTGCTTTGATAAATAACTACTAGAAAAAGGCTATTGGATTTTAAAATATATATATATATATATATACATATATATATATAT